CCGCCTTGTATATTATCTCGCAGGCTACGTTGCGAGAAAGCATATACTTAGCAATAATTGTGATGAGTGCAAGAACGCCTGTCTTGTCTCGAGAGAAAATGTGCCAGGAAATCTCCCAGCCCAGGCAAGCAAGCTGTGGGATCTGGGCGGACTTTTGCATCCGTCGAATTCCCTTTATACCCTCATCCTGAACCTTGAGGACAAAATCACTCGTTTCTTGAGCTCAGCACGTCTTCACGCCAAGTCGGCCTTAGAGATGCTGAAGGGGATTGGCGAGATACAACAAATTGGCTGCCCAAAGCATGGTGCTCTCTTGACCAAAAGTGTGGTGCGATTTTATTGCCTCACTCTTGTCCACTTTTTTTTTAAAGGCATGAACCAAAAAGAAAACAAAAAGAAAGGGCGGAGAGTTAAGCCATGTGTACTCTAGTGGCAGAGCACGAATACCTCGGCATGCATGGAAATAAATTTATGTTTTTGTTGAAAAAGTGTCTCCTCTATTTCTGCTGCTGGAGACGATTCTCGAGTCAGAGGCTTCGCGACATATGTATGTTTTAGCACTCTTAATTCGTTACTCGTGTAAGTTAATGAGCAATTGTAGGCTGTTAAAACTTCTACGTTCGGAAACCGATAATTGAATGCCAAGTGAGAATTTAAGCTGCGACTCGCCCAAGATTGTGCGTTCGCGGCAGAGCAGCAAAACGAGGCTCTCGTACAGACGTTTGTGCTCGTGGATGAAGGAACTTAACATGCTCTAAGTAATATGAAGCCTTCCAGTAATCGCAACGTCTCGTAACACACCTGCAGTTCTGCCGTGAGTAACCGCAATATTACGAAATCCACAAAAGTTGGTGTCGGGTCTCGTTCATATGCCTTCTCGAGAATTGTTTTCAGAGGCGAGAAAATATAGAGATACTTAAGCCACGTAAGACATTACGTGCCTTAAGTATCTTAAGTATTGTTGTACATTGACTCAATAAAAAAGGTTTTCACCGAAAATAGGTGACCGCCTTATAGCGTGAGAGCAGGCCCGTAGCCAGAAATTTTTTCCGGGGGGAGGGGCACTTGCTAAAAACTAGGAGGAAAGGGGCCCCTAGCTCCTCCCCCCCCCCCCCCCCCGGCTACGGGTCTGCGTCTAACTGCGTGAGAGAGATTTCTGCAGAGAGCAGCACACGCTCATTCGTATGTCGCCTGCGCAAGGGTACCCGCGCCTCTGCGTGCAGCGCTCCAAGCGGCATCGGCGCGCTTTGGGGACCAGTTTCAGCAGCCGCTCTTCACACCTCCTCATCTAGCCACCCTAGTAGGGGCCTCCCGACTGTGCGCAGGGTTGCTATTGGGCATGTCAAGTTTGGCACAATTAATTGGATAGTGAGGTAAAAACAGAAACAGATGAAAGCTATACTTAGGAAGAGTAGTTACACTTGGAATTATTTTGAGTTGTCCAGTGCCGTTCGCAGCTGCAGTGCCGTGCACTCAGTTATTTTTGAATTATTGCCGTCATTGTTTTCTAATGCTTTAATTGCTGCAAGTGTACCCGGATTCTCATTTATTCCTGTATCAAGGGTGTTAAATCGGTGGATAAGGTATGACTCTCGTTGTTCACATTCTCGGTTTGATTTCAATCTCGTCTCTAAGAGCGTTACTGGTAGTTTGTCGAATGCATGGTCGGGAAGATTGAGATGTTTTGATAGGGGTAGATGTGGGGCTGATTTCGCATGAGTTCTGTGATTATTGAAGTGAATCCTAAATGGTGTTTCTGTTTGTATGATGTACTGCATACTGCACACGTTTTATTCGAGTAGGTATACCACATTAGAGAAATCGCATGTTAGGTTTCCTCGTATGTTAATCAAAAACTTGGATTGTGTGCTGGTTGCTTTGTGTGTTTCTCGCATCGCTTTAGATACAAGACATTGTGACTTTAAACAAGGTCGGCATGAATTATTAGAAGGTGAAGTATTGATTTGAGAGTGGACAAGTGTGTCTTTGAGGTTGCGTGGTCGTCGGTAAGCGACGCCAGGAGCGGATGGGAATGCGCGTTTCAGATGTTCACTTTGTTCCAGAATGTTGTAATGTCGTTTAAGGTTTTTGTTTACATTGGGGAAATTTGCGCTGTAAGTTAAGCAGAGGTTTCTCCGTTGTGGGTCTTCTTGTGGTGGTCGCTTCATAATTAAGTCATCACGCTTCAGTTTTCTCGCTTTTTGAACGGTGTCATCAATTACTTGTGGAGGGTATTTTTGTTTATCGAGCATAAGTTTTAGCCTCTGTGAGCTTGTGTCAAAATCAGCGTCCCTTGAGCAGATTCGCTCAAGAGACGTAATCTATAAAGGCTATATGTGGGGTTGGTTGTATTCTACGCATTTCTTTGTCACCTGATTGATAATATGAATATCGTCGATTATTCAGTAACCTGTACAAAATCCTGCTTGGTTCATTATTTGATTGAACTCTAGGGTCGTCTTAGTTCTACTAGCTATTATTTTTGTAAATAGCTTGTAGATAATGTAGAGCAAGCTGATCGGCCTGTAATTTTCAAGTCGTTGATGTCCCCTTTCCTTTAGATTATGTAAGATGATGTTGGCATTCTTACAAGATTCTGGTACCCTTCCCGTTAAGAGACATTCCGTATACAAGGTGGCCAGTTTTTTAACACAATTTCTCCACCATCTTTCAACAGGTCTGATGTTACTCTATCCTCACCAGCAACATTGCCTCTTTGCATTTCTTCTGTAGGGTTTTCTTTACTTCGCCTGTCATTACTGGTGGGATGAAAGACTCTTCTGGGCTATTACTGCTCCTTACGGAATCATCCTGGTTGTCTCGGCTACTGCGCAGATCTCTGCAGAACTACTCCGCTACCTCAATTATTACGTCCATATTGGTTGTGACCTTGCCTATCTGATGTTTGCCTATGCACAGGTTGGCCTTCACAGCTTTTAGACTTCTTTCGCTCTTTACAGCATGTTCAATTCTCTCTATGTCGCACCTTCTTGTGTCAGCTACCGTATGCTTATTGATCAACTTTGAAAGCTCCGCCAGCTCTATGTTGTCTGTTGTGCATTTGAGGCTTTCATGGTTTTGTCGTCTCTTGGTGAGGTTTTTGTCTCCTGGGATAGTTTGAAGTAGCCGATTAGGTCACGATACGGGGGAGCGCAACTCGCAAGTAGACTGGAAACATCAGTTCAGGAGTGCTATACCACTAGAAATCAGCAAAAACCTCGACATTGCAGACATTTTGAAGTCAAAAATATCAAAGTTGAGTTATACAGAAAGAACTTATGTAAGAATAAACACATGGGGAGAAGAGTCATCCAAGGCACTCGGCTAAACTTGTTTAGGATTGAGGCATAGAGTGACAGGGTCAGAAGTTCAAATTCGTGCCGGGTTTTCGTTTTGTTTTATTTTAATAGGAAGAAATACTGAATTTCACAGAGTTATGGTAAGGCCACACGAGCTATGAGGAATGTCAAGTTGAGAACTGATCAAAAGTCTACATTGCCAAGAAAGTGCGACAAAACCCCTGTCTAGAAGTAGCGCGTCAACTTAGAATGCAAGAGGTCCGTGGTTCGAATGTCGATGCCGGACAGTGCTCAACCAAGAACAAAGAATAATACTGTAGCTTTAGTAAGAGGGTGGCAAGTAGTGTATTTAAGTTTAATAAAAGGTACAAGATGGAGGTGGTACAGGCCTATGCACCTACATCGAGGCATGATGATCATTTGGTTGAATGCTTCTACGAAGACATTAAATCAGCAATTAATAAGGTAAAGGCACAGTATACTTTACTAATGGGCAACTTTAATGCCAAGGTAGGCTAGAAGCAGGCCGGAGACAATGCAGTAGGGGAATTCGGCATCACCAGGTGGGAATACTCATAGAGTTTCCTACAGTAATACCTAGAGGGTAATCTAACGCTAGTATCTATGAGGCTCTTTCAGCGGTGCGGTGCTTGTACCCCAATGGGTTTTTGGGAAGTACAGGCTTCGGATCCACTTCGGATGGATTACATTCTTGAAATTCGCGATGCTTCTTTTCCAAGTGTGAAACAAAGCAATATGAACTTGGATTTAAATAAAACTTGCTTCAGTTATTTGTACTGAAACTTTATTGCAAAAAATTTTCGTGAGAAGGTGGCAAAATTGAAACCTGCACAAATTTAAACTTCAGGGTATGCATTGCTTTGCCATTGCGTTCCATATTTGGCATCAAGATTTGATGAGTTTTTTTACAACACTTGAAAATAAACATGCTTGTTTTTCTCGAAAGTATGTATTATCTATTTAAATAACAGTGCAATATTAAGTGAGAAACACTTATCGTTTCGTTCTCTGCGACGCTAGGTGCGTCTGTCCCAGTGATCTGCCCCCAACGCACCTCTGGTTTTGTTGTAAAGTCAAATGAGCGGAGCGTGATGGTGCATCTACTTCATCATCATTTTCCAGTCGAATTTAGAATGAGTTTAGGCAAGACGCCCTCGTGAAAAACATGAACTCGGGGCAGTATCCTGAACTGGCTTGGAACGCTACATCTATGCGCAGCGGTGAGTGAACGAACGCTTCATTTAAGCTTTGAAATGTGACTCTCAAAGCTCCAACCTCGCTGCAAATCTGGAGACCTAGTGGTCGTCAGCCTCCGAACAACGAAGGCACTGCTTCACTGCACCCCACTATCAGCGCTGCGCGAAGAACTAAACTGAAACTGTAAAAAAAAAGTCTGTTGACAGTTTGCTAGCTAACCCTATTCAATCCGAAGGCTGTACTTCCCATAATTCCTATGGAGGTACACGATTACAGCGCCACATTCCTCTATTGGTATTATCATATGGTAGTGTATAGGTGTTCTGTGGTATTATTGTATGAAGCTCTATGGAAATACTAGGAGAGTTGGCTGAACGCAATATTCTCCTGATCTTCAATACCTTCTTTAAAAGAAAAACGGGCTAATGAACGTAAATGACTTTGCTCCCATAACGGAGAACCATGCCTATTATATATGTGTACCTGGTAAAAGGCGAGCACGTCTCCCGTGCGCCGAATAGTGGCCAGGCCGTGCAGCGTGCCGTCCACGAGGCGCATCTCGCCCTGGGCGCGAAGCACGAGCAGGTCCTGGTCGAAGGAGCGCGCCTGGTCCGGAAGCGAGTACGGGTCGACGAGCAGCAGCTGCTCGGCGGTGCGCTCCAGCAGGGCGTCCACCAGCCGCTCGCTCCGAGCGGCCGTCAGGTTCACCGGCACGCGAGACAACTCCTCGTTCACGCGCCGCCGCACGTTCTCCTCGATCTCGCCTCGAAGAGACTGCTCGGCCTGCAGCGGATACGAAGAGCGCACCGCGGACTCGGTGAAATAAAGGACGATAGTTACAGCGCGAGAACAAAATGACGACACAGTGACACGGACACGGACTCGTGCCCTTCTTGTCTCTGTGTCGTCATTTTGTTCTCGCGCTATAACTATATCGTTATGCCACACCAACTAGCCCAAGCTGCCGCACTTCTAAGGAATAAAGGAGGTTTATAAATGAAGTCGCGCTGAAAATGATAAGTCCACAATGGCAAGTTTTGACGTGTAGCTATTTCAAGATTAGCGCGCGTAGGCGAAAAGTGAAAGTGCACCCTCCCCCCTCCTTTAATTCACTCATCTGCATCGTGATTTCCCGCGGTCGTCTTAATGCAAAAAAAGAGAGAGAGAAAAAACACTAGTTTTCATTTCACTGCACGTTTTAGTATGAAAGTGAAGACTAAAGCGAAACCTAGATGCGACAAAAAAAAAAGGAAGTTCATTCAGTTCGCTGATCTGTAGCTGCAACAAGTAACATTTCAATCTCGACAACGTGTACGGTTCGATGCGGCCACACTGGTGATTATCTTCGATCTACGTACGAAATTTACTCACTAAAAACATGTACGTAGTACAGTTGATCCGGTTCAATTGAGATATGTCTGCACCTTCTTGAGAATGCGCGTGACCATATTTTGTCAACCAGTTGGCATTACGCAAACATCCTCGACGTACGCACCTGCTTGAACACCGTGCCGCTGATCTGGTTAAGCAGCGAGTTGCTGAAGGTCGACCAGCGGCCGCCGCCCATAAGGTTCTCCATGTGCAGGTTGATGTTGTCCACCTCCAGCTTCGCGCTAACCGTTCGCACCCATGGTCCCCCGTGGGGTCCGCGCTCCAGCTCGGCGCGGGCCGTCGCCACCGCATTGGCGGCGTTCATCCAGAAGGTGCCGTTGCCGTGCAGCGAGACGAAGGCGAAGTCCCCGCTCAGCACGTACTGGCCCCGCAGCGAGACCAGCTCAGTGCGCGTCGCAAGTTCGACCGTCTGTCCGGTCAGGTTGGCCGTGGCCCGTTCTAGCCGGGTCGCGGACAGCCCGTGAAGCTGTAGGTCCCAGAAGCGACCGCGCACCGTCACCAAAGACGAGCGAGTGGATATATTGAAGTCGGGCACCGGCAGCGGGTCCTGTAGGTACCGCTCCAGCGAAACAGGCTCGGCCGGCTGGCAGCAGGTCCACACCAACAGGGCGGCGATTAACGGAACTGCGCGAGCGACGACTCTCCGAGCAGCCTCCATCGTTGGTTGGAAGATGTGCCGGCGGGCGAAACTGTGCGCTGATAGAGGGGAGCACGCGTTCATGCGATGCTCGGGGCAGCCCCCGCTGGAGATTACGGTCGTGGACTGCTGCCAGGGGCGGCTTAGATTTCGGCAGTTGTTGCGTCGGCGTCAGACATTTCCCTCCAAGTAGTCTTGCATGCAGCACTCTTGTTTTCGCTTCTCCAGGAAGCAAACACTGCGTTATTTAACACTCCTCTCTCTCCCTCTCCTTAGGCTCCAGCATTTGCAATGGGAGCCTTTCAAGAGCTCGTGCCCCCCAGCTGTGGTAATCGATCGCCATCTCATGTCCTTCCGCGTGTAGCTACGTCTTTACACACCGGCCATCTCCTCTAGTCTGCAGCCAGTTTCCGCTTGTTTATTTACACTGCGCAGCGTACCCGCCGCACCAGGTCACCGTTAGGACAAGCCTGGCTGAGAAAGTGCTGTCCCGATGGTCTGCAGCCCGTCCGTTTCCTCGGAGGACGCGCCCGCGCCCAGCTTCCGGTCATCGTCAACTGACGGCCGTGTTTGTTGCTCCATCTGCCGCGGATAAGTTTCCAGACCTTGGCCTAATGTCGGCAGTCCCCACGTGCAGCTATAGTGCAGCCGCCGCAACTTACACGAGCATATAGTTCGAGAGATGTTTCGTGCAAGATCGATTCCCGAATTTATCTTAACACCATATATCCGCAATAGTTTGTTTTACAGGCCATAAACAACTTGTTCTTTTTGTATGAAAACGGTAGTGTAACCTGTTAATGCTGTTATTTTATTTCTTCGACCTATTTTAGGTCGCGAGTTTGCGTTCTGTGCATTTGGCGACAGTACTAATGGATTACATTAGCTGACAGCGTAAAGGGACTCATTGAAAAGTTAAGAGGGGAAAAAGGGGAAGGGCAGAGAGAAAGCTTGCTGAAACAAATGATTTTTCCTAAAGCTATATGTACCTAAATTGTGTAGAGTGCGAAGAGAGGGATAAAAGTTGATGGAGAGTACCAAGGGTACAGCCAGAAATTATTTTCTATGGGGTAGAGAGGGCGGAGAAATGCTTATGTATGTTTGTGGGTGCGTTTGTATGTGTACGGCGTGTGTATATATACGCAAGCAAAATTGAAAATTTTCGGGCGGGGAGCAAGCTTAAACATCTCCCTCCCCTTTCCGCCGCCTTCGTTACGCCACTGTAAAGTACTTAGTAAACGATTTGCTGACGACATTAGATGGATGAGTGACTCAGGGGACGAAGTAGAGCTTATGATCACTGAATTGGACGCGGAAAGCAGAATATTCCTTGGCGGCAAACATAGGTGGAGAGTACAGAGGGGGATGCATCGTGGAAGGCAGAGCCCTGGCGCCATCCCAACGTTCTTTTTTTTTTTTTAGAGCTGTGCTTAGGCTATCATCCTATTAATGGACTGTTGGTCATCCTATATTGCAACTATTTCACAGCTAGAGAGACTGTATACCCGTTCCTTTTCATTTTATGAATTTAACATTCGGTTTATGGGAGTCTTCCTACTTGTCCGATATTTCAAAATTCGGGCAAGTAGGGAGTGGGGGGTCGCACCGGGAACGAAATCATAAGATGACGAAAATTTTGGTATTTGCACGGCTCTTGTGCTAAGTAAGTACGCGTTATGTACGCGTTCGCATAAAAAATATGAGTTTCTAAATGCGAAGCATTGCGTACTGCAAGTACTTCTCTTCTGGCGTCGATATCTATCTTGCGGCCTACGTCTGGGGATCACCCCCCTTAACTTGGTGTATACACCAAAATTAGTACGGGAGGGTAACATGGTTTGACGAATACGACATGCTGGCCATGACATGATAACGTCACAATCTCGTCGCGTACGTCGTCAAACATTCCCCCCCCCCCCCAAAAAAAAAAAACAGGGGCACATACCCGGAGGCAGTTATGTTCGTGAAACGTCAATGCTGGTTGCAGTACTGGCTATCATATTTTTTTTTAAAATTACATATGTACTCCTATGATTGTAGTGAGGTGCTACCCGCTGAGGTTGATTTGTATAGCAGTAGCCCCAACACAAACACTAAATCTTCATATAGCTTACCGCTTCTGGTGTTGCTGTTGTCATCATTACGCAACTGCAAACAACTGCTAATATATATATATATATATATATATATATATATATATATATATATATATATATATATATATATATATATATATATATATATATATATATATATATATAAACGAGCCCTTAGGTATACACTTCCTTCCCTTATTCATTAACGAGGGTGTCTCGTACTGACACACTTGGTGCCCTAGGTTGTATAAGGGGGACTATTGGTCGGATTCGCTCGCAGGATTTCAAGCTGGGCGGTTGTGCCCTCGCGATCTCCGACTTCAGCGTAGCTCCCGCCGACTGGTTCGCCCTCCGCGGTCTCCTGAAGCCGTGCAGCTCTCGCATTGTGGCACCCCGCCCTTGGACTGCTTCGACCGGATCCCCACTTTCCTATCTCCTTCTTTTTTCCTCTCGTTGGCTGGCTTCTTCTCCGTCTATTTTCCTTCTATTCTTTTTATCCCTCCTTCTTTTTCCCTATATCTTTTATTCCCCATATCCCATTCCTCTGCTGACCTGTTGAGGTGTCCTCGTAAGGAGAGACAGTTACGGGTCGGCATCTTTCTTTTCTTTTCTTCTGATATAACCACTTATATATAAATATTGGTCAGCTGCCAGCTCGTAATAAGTTCACGTGCTACGTGACGCCACACAGGCTCATGAAAGAGTGTGCCACACTCGCCACCGTGGCTACAGATGACGCTGACTGACACTCCCACGTTTAAATTCACATATATACCTAATAAAGTGGGTGGGGTGATAACCGCCGTGGTAGCTTAGTGGTGGAGCATCGAACGCGTTATTCGAAGGTCGCAGGTTGGTTCCTGCCCACGGCAAGTTATCTTTTCACCCAATTTTCTTTCTTCACATTTACATCACAATTTGGTCTGATAACCTCCCCTATACTTTCCTTGGCATTATTGTCTGTTAGAGTTCATTAATACTCTGTCAAAACTCGGAAAACACGAGCCCTGAAGTATACACTTCCTTCCCTTATATATATATATATATATATATATATATATATATATATATATATATATATATATATATATATATATATATATATATATATATATATATATATATATATATATATATATAGAGAGAGAGAGAGAGAGAGAGAGAGAGAGAGAGAGAAATGTAGAAGAGCAAGTCGGGCGCCCCGCCCCCTCGGACTCTCCGTCTATGGCGGCGATGGTGTCCTGTGCAACAGGTCTACATCGACGCCACTGTGAGGGACGCCACGCCGGAGCACAGGAATGTGCTCTGAATATTAATATGCACAAAACTGAAGTAGTGTGCAACAGTCTTGGGAGAGAACAGCGCTTCAGGTCTATCAGTGCATTGGGGAGCTTCCCGGTAAGTAAGCACGCGGGCTGCTACATATGCAGCCTCGTTACCCTGTAGACCCAGATGTCCCGGAGTTCATATGAGACGTTTTGGGGTAAGATCGTGGTTCTTGATGCTCGATTTTAATAGTCTGTTAGCCAAACGAGAGATTTCGCCTGGCAGATAGCTCTCGCAGGCTCTTAGAGAGTCTACAACTATTTGTTTTGAGTTAGGATGGGATACCGCCAATGCGATGGCCACCTTCTCCGCTTGACTTTCAAAGCCACTTCCACGTTTGGTTGGTACACCGATGCGCGTCCGTTGCAGACCGGGTCTTTGCACTGCCGGTCATAACAACGAACGGTAACGGTATACTAGAACCATGGAAGAACGCCGAAATCATATCATATTATAAGGAAGGACACGTGAAGGACTTGAAAAATTGGCAGATCACACGTACAGTGGGAATCGGTGATATGCGAAGCATGAATGAGAAATGTTGATATGTCGGTTTAAAATGAGCACAACGTTACGAGGTGGAGGTAAATAATGTCGTACATGACTTCCGTGTCATGATTATCACATTTGGATGTGTCGTTTACCTTCCTCATCTATTCACGCCACGTGATACCAAATTTTGTATATGTGGAGCTAGCAACGTTACGAGGTGGAGGTAAATAATGTCGTACATGACTTCCGTGTCTGATTATCACATTTGGATGTGTCGTTTACCTTTCTCATCTATTCACGCCACGGGATACCGAATTTTGTATATGTGGAGCTAGCAAAACGGCTTCGAGCGCATCATGAAGGGCCCAATATATTCCAATGTAGCGCTGACGCGCGCGCACGCTGGGCACAGCGACGCTATACGTTAGTGTCACACCCTTCGGGTGAGGCCCCGCCGATCCAACATCGACGTGCGGCAGACTCGCAGGCTTCCACTTTACGCTTCGGCCTACGACGCCTGAAAGGCCTCGAAGTGGCACATTTCGAATTTATTTGCGGGTTGGTCGACCCGTGCGGGGTTGCACGTGTGGTGATGTGTGGGCCTGACCGACGCACTCATAGAGCAGACACAGAGTTCGATTACACATAGACAAACATTTAATTAAAACAGGGGCAAAGGCAGGAGATTACAAAAATAACAAATGAGGAAAACTGATACGCGCGATGGAAAGAACAGCTATATAACAAAATGTGCTAAAACAGTACAAAAGATACAGGCTACAGACAGATATGCGGAATGTTAAACTAATGACATGAATCAAAGGAGATACAAGGCAATAATTACAGAATGCTCATGGTGGCGCTTTTGAATTTCAACGTGCGACGCAGCGCACCCTACAAATACACAGATTTAAAAAAAAAGGCTGGTTAAAACAATTTAGCTGTTTAAAAAAAGTCACAATAAAAAGTTCCATACGGACCAGGCCAGCTCTTGGTGCACGTAGGGGAGTTGACGGGTGCCGCTGAAGGTCTCGCCGGCTTGGTAGACGACGAGGGTGCCCGGAATTGCAGCCGTCTCAATACGTTGCACGGGTCACTCCATGCTCGCCGCCTACGCGAGACTCGCGACACCGACGACCGCACTTGTTGCTGGCTGTACGTCAACTGCCTATTCCGATGCAGTCCAAACCTCTTCAGGGGCGTATACGTGTTCCCGTCTCATCTGGGAGTAATTCTCCCTGTTGAGACCGCCGGTTTCCTCTTCCGGTCAGGGGCAGGGAAGACGAGCCGGCGCCACGCTGGGTCGTTATAGT